GGGGGTGTCTTTCCCTGCCCAAGGCCGCCCGACTCTCAGCGCTGCTGTGCAGCGTGCGCTTTCTGTGAAATGTGGCTTGGGTTTTGGCTTTTTTAAGTGATAAATTATACTTTTTTATTTTTATTATTTTATCCTGTATTAAAATCTTTTGAAGATGGTAATGACTAGTTCCTTGGGGAGAGTGTAGATATGAGTACCTAGTATGCATCCGAACTGATTTCTTCATTTTGCTGTCCTAGCTGCAAATCCTGTTCCTTGCAGAGGTTAAGTAGAATTATTGAGGAGGAATTTATACTGCTCTTGTGTACTGGCAAACAGGATTTTATAGCAGACCCACCATTTTCTTCCAACTTATGCATCAGTAAATATTTAATAATACAGATTCTTCCGTGCTCTAATGATGAGATGAATACTTCTCAATAAAAAGACCTCCTTTCTCGTTCCAGTGATCAAATTGCGGTCGGAGTTCCTGTACGTATTCAGCTGCTTTGCGATACCGGGAATTGAGAGCTGTAAGCTGACAGACCATAAAATGGAAACCTACTGTTCAGGTTGCAGTGATTCCTCTGATCTCCTAATCCTGTTCGGGAGCCTCCAGCCGGCTCATTGAGCCTTTCTGAGAACAGGTGGGGGTAGCAAATTTTAGTGCCAAAAGCTCAGTCCTGTGAAGGACCCTGATCCCTGTCGTGCTCTCTTTTCAGTTTGAGAGCAGGTGGCGTATCCTGGAATTTGTACCAAACCCTCACTGAGGAGGGGATGTGTCGTAAATCAGGGAGGTCTCTTCTTTAAAATAGCAGATGATGGCAAGAAAGTGTGCTCTGTAAATGTGACTTGTTCCCGTGCCGGTTCACGGTGCAGACACAAAACACGCACTTATGTACTGCCCTGCCAGGGGTGCAGCTTCCTTCTGACGTGTCAACAGCATGGATGTTGTGGAAATGAGCTCAGAGCATCTCTGGTCCCTCTGAGGTTGTGCCTCAGCTTGGTGGCACACAAGGGAATTGAAGGTTTTTGATGCTGGTGTCTCCGTTTCAGCAGTGTGGCTCACTTCACCATTCAGCTCCTCAACAGCTAGGCTGTCAGGTCTGACCCATAACACTGGCTGTTCACCTCGGTGCTAGCATTTCTGCAGCACTTGGGCGTGGTGGGACTTCATGGCATTAAATGCGATAGGGGATGGTTGTAATGACCTCCCTCAACTGGTACGTCTGAGATACAGGCTTACATGGTGTTGCCCTGTGGCAGCTCAGGCAAGTGGCTTTTGCTCCTCTCACCAGTAGATGGTGGCAGAAACACCGCTATGTGAGTTGATGCATCAGGTTTGTGACTTCTTGGAAACAGAAGATCCACATATGGGGAGGGTTTGAGTCCTGGCTGGACAGAATTGCATCTCCCCCCGCCTTTCTGTGATTGCATAGCTCTAAGCATCTCCGTGTCTTCTCCAGAGAGGCTTCTTGGGCCTGATTGCACTCTTAAGTTGGCTGTCTTAACTGTCGGAACAGAAGACAACAGAAACACGTCTGCTTTTAGGCACTGAGAAAGCGGTACAGAAAAATATCCTCATGGAGAGGCTGTGCTGGGAGAGCCAGGAGAACCCCCAAAATGATCTAGCGGCTTAGTCTTGGGAAAGCCTGATTAGGGTGCTGCTGAGTTTGCCTTACTCTCTCCTGCTTTTATTTTGTCTTCTAGTTCCTCGTGCGAGCCTGACTGCCATGCCTGGGTGTTGACACTTTCGGGTACAGCAGTTTAAAATGGCAGAGAAAGGTGGAAATGAAGAAGTAGTTAACTTGAACAGCTTCCGTAGTCACAGAGGAAAAGGTGAGTACCGGTTTGTGCATATTTCCGAAACTCCCTCTGTAAAACTCTGCTTACAAGCAGCAGGATTCGTAGATACTGAACTTGCAATAGTGCTGTTAACGGGAACCTGCTAGTGGTCTGTTTTGCCGTGTTACACTGTGTTTGCTCTGTTACACTTACTTCACAGCCACCTACAGAAAATTCTCTCATTTTATGCTGACATGCAAAATATTTGGCTCTTGTCTTTCTCACGTTGTACTGCCTTAAGGCAGATTGCTAACTTCTTGGGAACACCGCGTAGAGGTATTTCAGCAGATCTGAGGGGCTTATGGTGTTCCACCCTTCTGAGGACCTCACAGGAGAGAGGCTGGCTTTGCATTTGTATCCTCGTAGGGCTGTATGCATTGGCACCTGTTCCTCCGAGACTGGAATTCAAAATGATGCTTTCTGTATGCCTGAAAGGTGATAAATGAATACTCATGAATGCTTATGCTAAAGCATACGCCAAAACGTTGTGTCCAGTCGTAGGGGAAGCATGGTTGTATGCTGTCTCTGCAGTACAGAAACCCTCTGCTTCTGGATGGAGTGTCTCTCCTGAGTTCCAGTAGCTGTGCTCAGTAGCATCTGTATTCCACTCTTGACAAGCCTTGAGGGACAAGGTTCTCATCTAGTAGCAGGATACCTTCTGCGCCCACAGACAGGAGCCCTATCTCTGTCTTGCATGAGGTACTCCTGCAAAGTCACATTCTTTCAGAAGAGGCCGAATTGCACAGAGAACCTTATCTCTCCTCTAGAATGCACTGCACATTAATAAAAGAAAATGTATCGTCCCCAAGATACTGAACGTTCAGGACTTCTCTGCAAAAATTAGGAAGTACTATGTAAGTGGCTTGTTCAGAACATTTGCAGCAGCTTGACTCGTGCTGAGGTTCGGGGTAGAAGAATCTTTGCATAAGTGTCAATGAGTGACTGTTTCATGCATGTGCCATTGTGGTCTCCTGAGCTGTAGTTTGTGCACGTATTTTGCTCGGAGGGCCCGGGGAGGTAGGAGTGGCCATACCAGTAACTTGCAGAGGAACCAGTGACCTTTGAGCGCTTCTTCCCTGTTGCTGCAATGCAAATGGGAAGATTGCTTTTTCAGATGTTTCGGTGCTTGTGCCCTGTAATTTCAGTTATTTACTTTTAGCAAATAGCTAACTTCACTTACTTTACTACAGACTGGATAAACCGCAGGGACGAGGGTCTTATCATGATATCAGATTCCTCGGATGAAGAATTACCTTTGCTGCTGGAAACGCCAGCAGAGCAGCAGCGTGAGGAAGATGACGATGATGTAGTCATCTTGGTGGAGGTAATTTTTCATTCTTGTACTTGCCCTGCTTTATTCATGGCCTTTGTAGCCAACTCTGGTGCAAGTATCTGATGCATTCCTTTGAGAGTCCTGTCCAGTTACAGTAATTTACTTAGGATGTCTGAAATGTGTGTTGAAATGATGGCATTTTGCTGGCTTTAAGTGTTTAATCATATTTTGGGCACAGGGGGGAGAACTAGATTGTTAAACTGCATTGTATTTAAATTTATACTTAACAAAGGCTGTAGCTTCCATAAAGTTACCTATCTTAATCCAGAAAGGTGGAGAGCTTTGTAAGAGGACTTGATGTTCCTTAGAAGGCGGGTTTTCAAAACATGCCTTGTTTGACCTTGTATGCTTTATTCCTCTATGCTGTTTGGATTCTTGTTGGGCTGTTGCAGGCACTTACATTTTTTGCAGTTTTACAAAGCCACCACCTGATAAATTCCTTTCCACTGGCACCGGCAGTCACACAGAGGAGGGCCAAAGGCTTTAGCTTACCCTGATTATTTTAAGTGTCTAATTTCATATCTAAGCTATATTAAGAATATATTTTCTGTTAAAGTAACCAGAGGCATTGAGAAAATGGGTTGCAAAGCTGACCTTTCTGTTTCTTAGTTGAAAACAGTAGCAGGGACTATTCAGACTCTGTTGGCATACAGCAGTCTTGTCTGGCAGAGGCAAGAACGAGGCCAGAGATTAATGTTTTGAGCTTTGTTTCCTGCCTGTTTAAATAAATTGGTGAGAATGCAAATATGCCATCAGTTAGTTCCTCCTTCCCAGACTATTTTACTGGGAGGGAAGTGGGGACTGAGGTGAGCTCAGGAAATTATTCCAGTCTGAAAGTCCTGTGCATCCCCAGTTCTGCCAAATGTTCTCTTAGTACCTGGGAACAGACTGAGGATGGAGTTCAGTGAAACAAAGATACGTGAGTTGCAGTTTTATGCCTTATTAAGCACCTTGCTAAACAGACTTTTCATCTGTTTCCCATCAGAAATTTGATTAGATGCAAAAGATCATCTGGAGCAAGGATTCTGACATGCAGACAAGAGCTCCTACTTACTCTTGTCTGTCTTCTTTTTAGACCCCAAAGCATCAGCAGCTCCTGCGTCCCAATGTCATCAGACCTGCTGCTCAATGGCAAGGTGCAAACGCTGTGGGAGAAGGAGGATCTAAAAGTGCTGTCGAGCCTTTGAGGAGCATATATCTGCAAGATGAGAACTCAGCTCTGCTGTGCCAGGGAGACCGGTATAATCCCACGGTGGAGGGCAGTGCTGGACCAAGCAGGGATGAGAATATGAACTTTGCCTTGCAGCAGCCCGGATCATCTGAGCTTAATGGCCCCAGGTTTGAACTTACAAGTAACCAGGAGCCTGGCCCAAGTTTGCTTCCAGCAATAAAGCCGAGTCCACAGCCTGTTGTTAACAGAGAAATCATTAGCCTGGAGAATGCAGAAGTTCCACCACAAGAGGAAGAAAAGGTGGAAGCCCAGGGATGGCAAGGAGAGGACTTGGAGCCGGAGCAAAACCTCGGAGGAGCAGCTGCTGCAACTACCACAGACCAGGAGATCCGTGAGAACAGCCAGCTGGATCACCCATACTTCCAGCCGTTGGAAGGCGAGCCACATGCTGTAGTAAATGGTTGTGCTCCTCAGCAAGGGCAGCCTGAAGCAGACCCAGGATCTTTGAGGGCATATGGAGAGGAGGCTCCTGGGCCAGCCTTCCCCCGACCTGAACCACAGCAGGATGGGATTCCAGGTCCCGCTTCGCCCCAGCTGGCGCATCCACCAGAAGAGATGGGTCAGCACGCAGCGATAGACAATGAACAGCCAGGTCCAGCGTTCCCAGCACAGGGCTCTCACGAACTTGGCTCTAGTAATGTGCCAGAACAAGGAGCTGCTGGGCAGGACCAAGACCTCACTGCGCTGCTCATCAGAGAGACGGTAAGTGTTCCTAGGGCTTGTTTGCCTTCAGCGTGCATGTTATTTTTAGACAGGTTTTTCAAGGTGTGTAGTGTTTCACATGCTCAGAGCACAGCCCTAGTGACTTCAGCTGCAAATCCTCTTCATTTTGGCTAAGACTCAGCTATGCACCAGGTGAGGAGCTTGCAATGAACTGTCTTGGAGAACTTGGGTTTGAAAGACTAACCCCAGCGCTATGGCAGAAGTGGTGAGAGGATGTGAATCTTGAGGGCAGTGTTTGTTTCGAGGTGGGCTATTGGCCAGGGAGACTTAACAGAACTGATTGCAGGGTCTCAAGGGCACAGTGAGGTAAAATAATATGGGTCTGTTCCCTTAAAGGCTAGTGCCCTCTCAGTTCTGCTCATTTGTTTTTGTCTGGCTGATTCCTAACCCAACACTGTGGAGCTGGTTTAGGGATGGATGTAGAGCTAAATGAGAAAACTGAGACACTAAACACTGGTAGAGGGTTAGAGGGGTGGGGTAGAGAAGGCTTAGAGACGCATGGCTGAGAGCCATGGCTGCTTTCAGCTGCCTTTCCTAGAGTACTTTGGTCCATGGCCGTGTGAAGGCCACCATAGTGGTCGGGGTTGCCCTTGCA